ATCTTGCATTAGAATCCTTCAACATGTGCATACTGCTTCACACTGTTCTTCAGCAAATGCTGTGTATTCTGTATCTGCTTCTGTGTTCCTGTAATGGTAATGATCTGATCTTTGGATCCTTCTAATGGTTTAACAATTTTGACTGAAGCTCCAAACTCATGCCGAAATTGTTTAATCCACTGACCACCTTTGTCAATAATAGATACAGTCAAATCTTTGGGAATAGTTGCTTGTGTAGTAATAATAGGTCCACCAACATCACAATATGAGCCACAACCCCCTACATAAGAATAATCATATCCAGAGCCACCCTGTGGCTCATAAGTCATCTGCCACTGTGACGGGCTCCATATATCTATTGCAGAATCCAAAATTTCATCTACACTGAAGCCAGCCATGCCATAATAGCAGTTTCCTGGTCTTCCTCTTCTGTCATAATCCATTAGATCTCCTCCTCTAGGTGGTGACTTGTTGACTTATTAAGCCACCACTCATCTGTCAATTTGTTATACTATGGTGGTATGCATGTTACTTTCATTCTGGAAGCTATGTTACATATCTTTTCAATACTAGCAGTGTCATCCATGGTTTCAGCTTACCTTTCAGATGAAGATCGACTAGGAAGGAGATGGATTACTTTTGAAGATTTAGTCACTGAAAACCATATGAATAGCAGTGAATCACTGTGATATAGCATCAGAATATTGAATATTGAAATATGATGAAGATCACCAGAATAATGTAAGTTACAGTGCTGGAAGTTGAGACCCTAAGTTTGGAAGATATTCAAAATACAACGAGGAAAGAGCTAACTCCTCAATGTAGAGTTGACCATGATGATGCGAAAGGAGTACAGCCTTCGGGAGCTTCATTTGCTGGTGGGGCACAAGTCAAAATGATGAGAAAGAGCTGCAAATATCCATTAGTAATTATAATGTGGAACGTATGAAGTATGATTCAAGAAAAATTGGAAATTGTCCAAGATGAAATGAAACACGTAAACATTGATATCCTAGACATTAATAACCTGAACTAGACTGCTATTGACCATTTTGAATTTGTCAAAACATGAATTATTATGCTGGGAATGACAATTGAGGAGGAATGGAATCACATTCACTATCAAAATGAACATATAAAGAGCTATCTTAAAATACAATGCTGTCTGTAATAGTATAATGTCTATAAATGTTATATATGGATATAAGTCTACAAGGAAAACTAGTTAATACCACTATTATTCAAATTTATGCACCAACTACTAAAGCCAGTGATTATGAAATTGAAGAATTCTATCAAATTCTGTCTGAATTTGATCAGACATGCCATCAAGATATATTGACAATTCTTGGTGATAGGAAAGCAAAGGCTGGAAACAAAAAGGAAGGATCAGTAGTTGGAAAACATGGTTTTGGTGATAGACATGAAGCTGGAGATCACATGCCAGAATTTTTCAATACCAATGACCTCTTAATTGCAAATACCATTTGTAAAAAACAAAAGACAACTGTACACATGGACTTTACCAAATGGAATGTAGAGAAATCAAATTGACTGCATCAGTGGAAAGAGATCTTGGGAAAGCTCCATAACATCAGTCAAACAAAACAAGGCCAAGGGCAGACTGTGGAAGAACCA